TACTTTCTCTGCCTACTAAACTCAATGGCTGCCACAATGCCTCTAGGATAGGTTGGGCTTACCACGATATATACTATATTGCCAAAAGTATTGGGACACCCTTTCAAATCATTGGATTCAGGTGTTCCAATCACCTCCATGGCCACATGTGTATAAAATCAAGCACCTAGGCATGCAGACGCTTCTACAAACATTTGTGAAAGAATGGGTCGCTCTCAGGAGCTCAGTGAATTCAAACGTGGTACTGTGATAGGTTGCCACCTGTGCAGGAAGTCCCTCCGTGAAATTTCCGTGCTACTAAATATTCCACGGTCACCTGTTAGTGGTATTATTACAAAGTGGAAGCAACTGGGAACAGCAGCAACTCAGCCATGAAGTGGTAGGCCACGTAAAATGACAGAGCGGGGTCAGTGCATGCTGTAGTGCACAGTGAGTAGAAGTCACCAACTGTCTGCAGAGTCAATAGCTACAGACCTCCAAACGTCGTGTGGTCTTCAGATTGGCACAACAACAGTGCGTAGAGAGCTTCATGGAATGGGTTTCCATGGCTGAGCAGCTGCATCCAAGCCTTACATCACCAAGTGCAATGCAAAGAATAGAATGCAGTCGTGTAAAGCACGCCGCCACTGGACTCTAGAGAAGTGGAGACGTGTTCTCTGGAGTGACGAATCACGCTTCTCTGTCTGGCAATCCAATGGAAGTGTCTGGATTTGGCGGTTGCCAGGAGAACGGTACTTGCCTGACAGCATTGTTGGGGGATTTTGGTGTGGGGTTGTTTTCTAGGGGTTGGGCTTGGCCCCTTAGTTCCCGTGAAGGCATCAGCATACCATAAACACATGGATGAACGAGTTTGGGGTGGAGGAAGTTGACTGGCCTGCACAGAGTCCTGACCTCAACCAGTAAAGAACACCTTTGGGATGAATTAGAGCGGAGACTCCGAGCCCGGCCTTCTCATCCCACATCAGTACCTGACCTCACAAATGTTTTTCTGGAAGAGTGGTCAAATATTCCCATAGACACACTCCTAAACCTTGTGGACACCTTCCCAGTAGAGTTGAAGCTGTTATAGCTGCAAAGGGTGGGCCAACTCAATATTGAACCCCACGGACTAAGACTGGGATGCCATTAAAGTTCATGTGCAGGCGTCCCAATACTTTTGTGCAATATAGTGTATGTTTGTATGGAACAAAAATCAATATATTGTGATAGGTGTAAAGCCAAGGAACTGATTCCTGAAACTGGCATACAGTGAGTAAACTATTATGAATTTTAGGTAAATCAGGAACTACAGAAATACAGTAGTGACTGGTGGGACCATAGTACACAAGAGAGAGAAGATTTGAAGCATGTGTAGCAGGTATTATTTCTCTCTTTTTACATGTTTTTTTGTTGTTATTATAATGATTTTATTTTGCAAAAGGATAATTTAAAGAATAATTTTAATTTTTAAAAGTCGTTCCTCCCTCTAGATCCCTTTTTCTCTCACCCACACCATTCTTTACTGTTACTGTAGTGTAAAGATGTATCGGTTCTTTCCCAAACTTTTCACCTCTACCCTTTCCACCCTAATTTTCTCTAATTTCTCAGTTGCCCTCCTAGCTATCCTTTCCCTTAATTTGGCATCCTCCCTCCCTGTAAATAGAGGTTCGGTATATGTTTGTAAAGCCAAGGAGACAGATCCCTTTTTCACAGAAAAAAAATAGAAATGAAAGTATAACTACCAACCTGGTGCAGTTACACGTATTCTGTAGCACCCCCCTTCCAGTCTGATACTAGACTGTGCCCGATCCTGTGATATAGTGGCCTTATCACACAGGGACTCAATAAATCTTCTCTTCTGGTAATCTCATTGGAAGTTAGTCTGGAGTACATGCTTATACTATAGAGCTTTCCATAGGACTGCATAAAAGTGTACAGGATATGCACGGGCCCAGCACAGAGGAATTTGACAAGCGGCTGTTTGCCACTGAGGGAGCACAGTCGATAACTCACTGGATCAGGGTGATAAGACTTGTGGGGAGGGTTGGGGTAGTTACAAAAGGTATAGTTATACTTTAAAGGACTTCCCAAAAGATAGAGCACCCCTTATATCTAAATCTCTGCCCTTGTACCTATTAGTGTGGGTTTCCACATACTAGACAAGGATTACCACTAGGGATCAGCTCAGGATCTGACCAAAACCATTCTGAACTTGAGCTCCTCCGAGCACAGATGGAAGCTCTTTCCCCGCTAGCTACAGCCAGGAAATTCCCCACCTGCAACTGTATGCAAGCAAGTGGGCAGGATCTGAGAAAGCAGCAATTTGGCATCACTTTGCCATCCCATCCCTTCTTATTAGTCCTTTAGCGTGATAAGCGGCCTCACTGACCAACAGGCTCCAGAGGTGGGGAGGAATGGGGCTATTGATAACAGCTATTGATAACATCCAGGAAATGCAAGATTTGCATGGACCTTGCATTGTGAAATAGTGTCTTTGGGAGCAGTAACTGTAAACTACGCACACATGGGGTCCTTCAAGAGGTACAGTCATTTACACCTCACCCTGCTGTCCTGACATACTTTTGGTCACCATTACTCTGTAGCAAACTGGAAAGTTGAGAAATCACCACAGAGTTCTATGGAAGTGACTACTTTATTTAAAACACTGTAGATCAGGGGTGCCCACAATTTTTGTATTAAGATCTACTTTTCAAATGGCGAGCTACATGAGATCTACCAACGGGAAAAAAACCTCCCTCGCCCTTTCTCTCCTGGCTGTCTCTCCTCGCTCTCCTGGCTGTCTCTCCTTGTTCATTCTCCTGGCTGTCTCTCCTCTCTCCCTCCTAGCTGTCTTTCTTCACTCTCTCTCTCCTGGCTGTCATTCCTCGTTTTCTCTCCTGGCTGTCTCTCTTCGCTCTCTTGGCTGTCTGTCTTCGCTTTCTCCCCTGGCTGTCTCTCCTCGCACTCTCTTTCCTGCCTGTCTCTCCTTGCTCTCCCCCCTGGCTGTCTTTCCTCTCTCTCCTGTCTGTCTCTCCCCGCTCTCTCTCCTGGCTCACCTTGCTGTTTTTGCAACAGGTTGTGTAAACTAATATTCCTTGATGTAATACATAGCACTTCAAAAACCAGTATCCACCAGAAAGGAGTTAGGGAGCTTGGCTCAGCAGACTCAGGCTAATAGGTAATCATGTGTGCACAGCTAAATAAATATACCAAAATGGAATAAAGGGGCCGCCATTCACATGCTTCGTGATCTACCAGCATCAGCTTTGAGAGCTACTGGTAGATCACGATCTACCTAATGGGCACCCCTGCTCTAGATCATAGGAACTGGAAGCATGATGATCAGAAGCTATGTCTTATCAAGAGCATCGCAGATCTAAGTGTCACTTATACATTACACTTACCTTCCCCAAAGCTTTACAATGAATATTTCTGGAGTTCTTCTTTCACTTAAGACTCCACTGGCAACTACAATGCTCCCACAGCCTTGGGACACAGGACCCAGAAACAAAGCACTATAGGACCTGCTAAAAGTACACTTATGCTTTATGATCAAAAACTTAATTATGATTCAAAGAGAACACAAGTAAGAATATTTACATACTGAACATTCAGACAATCCGGGGCAAAACATTATAAACAATGTAAAATGAAAACCCACTAAAATCTAACAAGGCAGAGAAAAAAGTAACCCAAGAAGCTAATTCAAAAGAGATCTCGGTATAGCTCCCCATCCACATTAACAGCATGGAGAATCTTCCCTGCCGGCTATTGCATTCCAATAGCTGGCACCTGCAGCTATCAGAATACCAGAGCACTGACGGAAGCTGGTTGTAGTCACTGCTCAGCTGACAATTTTCCACCTGGCTCCTTTGATTAAAGTCGATTGAAAAATCAACTTCTGTTCATCCAGGTGTTGTTGGCAGGGCGGCCAACGGATCGAATTGTGTCCAATTGTGCCACGCGTTCCCGTGCGCTCGATCGCACTGTGACTGGAGGGCGTGGCTGTTGTGCCATTGAGTTCAATGCACCGCCATGCCCCAACACAAAGTGAGCGGGCCACAATGCGTACCAGTGCGTTTCAGCCACCCTTCGGGCCGGAACGCACTGTGGCTGGTGTGAACTGGCCCGGAGTCGGCTGGGGCTCCAGGCATCACATCCAAGATGGCAGCACCCATCCGGTCAGGAGTGCAATGGGATCTACCATATTCTAAAAGCACCCAGGAGCAGTCTCTGGACTTTTGGAAGTCTACACAGTGGAGGGTTTTCACATGTAAATAACAAGCAAAAAATACAATAACTGCTCATATAATCTTATGGGAAGATTGGTGTTGTAATTAATAGTCTGGTGACAGGTAATGATGTGCAGGGACCTGGTGTGGACCAAGTTTGATCCGAGTTCACCCAAGCCAATGAAAAATTGTCATTGACGTCCCCCTCCAGCCCAAACAGCTGTGCCTAGGGCATTCCCCATGCGGCATATAGCTGCAGGATGAGGAATACCACAGCAGCATCTGATCGGGGGGGGGTGTCAGTCACAGTTTGGAGAGGGCAATTGTTTATTTTTAACTCTATAGTGTAACTCTACCTCAGTCACCATAGCATTGTACAGGGTTTCACATGTCTATAGTGAACTCTTGACGGAAGCTCGCATAGTTCAGTCACCACATAACCTCAACAAAGCGTACACACAGCCGCTCACCGTACACAAAGGCAAGTCCCGCCCGTACACGGCGAACATACACAAACAAGCCCCGCCCTCACTATGCCGCCACTGGAGCAGACACGTCACGGTTCTACATAGGCAGACCACGCCACCTTCCACAGGTCTTATTCCCGCCCACCGCTGCGATTTATCCAGTCAAATTATGGGAACGCACTCAAAGGCTTTGTCCTATTTGTATACAAGACGACGTCTCGGAGCTCTCCTCCAATCGGCGCACAGACCCGCATAAGCGCCCCGCCCACTTTGTGAAGGCGGGAGGTTTCTACGTCCCGGGGCAGCTGGCAGCGTCGGGTTGGTTTGGCGCCATTCTGTGTTGTTGGTTCCGGGACTCGGAGAAATGGTTGGCAGCGGCGATGCGGCAGGTTAGTAAATAGTTATAAATAATGCAGTGTGCGCAGTTTATTGCAGGCAGTATTTCCGTAGTAAGCAGAACCCTGCAGTAACACATAGTAATTCGTAATGACGCTCGCTCTATAGCTGCTTAATAGTTCATCACAGCAACAGAAAGATCCAAACTGCTATAACACAGAGCACTACATCACAGAGGAGACAAGGCAAAGTGCAGCTTAGGTCAAGTTTATAGTGTTTTGGATATAATGTGCACCCATCCAACCTGCGATCAGCTTTGTCCTGATTGGGGGGATGCCTGTTATGTCAAAGGTGACATTTTCCTCTTCCTGTTGTGTGCCTGTCACAGGAAGCGCAGGCAGCTGTCACAGGAAGCGCAGGCAGCTGTCACAGGAAGCGCAGGCAGCTGTCCCCTGTCACAGGAAGCGCAGGCAGCTGTCCCCTGTCACAGGAAGCGCAGGCAGCTGTCCCCTGTCACAGGAAGCGCAGGCAGCTGTCCCCTGTCACAGGAAGCGCAGGCAGATGTCCCCTGTCACAAGAAGCGCAGGCAGATGTCCCCTGTCACAGGAAGCGCAGGCAGATGTCCCCTGTCACAGGAAGCGCAGGCAGATGTCCCCTGTCACAGGAAGCGCAGGCAGATAGCAATAGAGGATACCTGGACTTGCATAAGTCTTAATCCTTCCCTACTTTAGTAAAATAAAGGTTTTGGTTGTTTTCCCTTTGGATACTGGCTTGCCTTCCATGGATATTGCTCTTTGCTCGGTCTTATTTCACAGAGCTCAGGTCACGCTGATAATTATGCTCTGCTCAGTGTGCGTTCACATTAGCTGTGTTGTCCAATCCATTCCTGACTCATAGACGGGGCAATGTGCCTTATGGCAGAACTCTGGGCACACATTTTATTAACCCTTGCAGTGCTGGGTTAGCCTCACTGCAAGGGTTAATAAAATGTGTGGCTGGAGTTCAGCTAAGTGCTTGTTTTTGTCTAGGGTCAAAAATACTCACCCAATCCTTGGAGCTGGCTTGCTCTTAGAATGGTCCCTGTAGTCTCTCTCTCCCTTCCTTCCACTGAAGCAGTCACAGGTCCCTAAGTCATCACATTCAATACAATGTATAGGACGTGAGGATGCCGGGTGACATACCATTGCTGGAGAGGAGGAGACGAGGCTGTCGCGACCGCTTCCGAGGATCGAAAAAAAATGTTTTAACCTAGAAAAAAACCCAAGCAGTTAACCCTTTGTAGTGTGAGGGTAGCCCCACTGCAAGGGTTAATAAAATGTGTTGCCGCAGAGTTGTTTCACTTTACTGCCATGCACTGCATTGGTGTGCCCTGAATAAAGGGATGGGCTTCATTTTTACACTTCATGTGGTGACGTGCTACAATGCATCACAACACACTGCTGCACATGGCATTTTAGACAAATAAAGTACAAAGGAACCCGTGTGGTGCATTGTAACATCACGTCGTTCCTACACTGTACACCAGGCAGTGTGTGTGATATGGAGCGCAGTGTACACCAGGCAGTGTGTGTGATATGGAGCGCAGTGTACACCAGGCAGTGTGTGTGTGATATGGAGCGCAGTGTACACCAGGCAGTGTGTGTGTTATATGGAGCACAGTGTACACCAGGCAGTGTGAGTGTGTGTGATATGGAGCGCAGTGTACACCAGGCAGTGTGTGTGATATGGAGCGCAGTGTACACCAGGCAGTGTGTGTGATATGGAGCGCAGTGTACACCAGGCAGTGTGTGTGATATGGAGCGCAGTGTACACCAGGCAGTGTGTGTGATATGGAGCGCAGTGTACACCAGGCAGTGTGTGTGATATGGAGCGCAGTGTACACCAGGCAGTGTGTGTGATATGGAGCGCAGTGTACACCAGGCAGTGTGTGTGATATGGAGCGCAGTGTACACCAGGCAGTGTGTGTGATATGGAGCGCAGTGTACACCAGGCAGTGTGTGTGATATGGAGCGCAGTGTACACCAGGCAGTGTGTGTGATATGGGGCGCGGTGCGCACCAGGCAGTGTGTGTGAGATATGGGGCGCGGTGTGCACCCGCCTGCAGGAATGGGCCTCACAGAAGCACTTTATAACAAAGAGTAAATATTTTTAGTATTAAAGCCCAGACAATGTTTCAGTGTAAAGAATCTAAATACATTTCGGGTGCATCAATACAAAATGTGTTCAGAGTTTTACAGTTTGTTTTCTTTCAAATCGGCTGCATGTGGCTCAGTGGGGGATGTGTCGGACCTCTGCAGAGTGGCTGCTGCTTCCACACACTCCAAAGGTTGCACTCTGGCATAGGACAGACCTTTCTACGTAGGCTGTGGTTGCTTTGGAATAAAAAAACAAACTGTTGCACATAACACTTTTTTGTTGTTGTTCATTTGTTTATTTTCATCACATCACTGTTGCACGGTAAGAGCTGCACCTGGCCTGGTCTATAAGGTACAGTGACAGCTAAATTGGTGGGTTGGTTGGTAAATAAACACAATTACCATTACTGAGATCCAGTCAGTGGGATTCCCAGTTGTTGGCGTGAGAACAACCCTGCCAGTGACAGCACCATGTTGAAACCAGGAGCGTGTGCAGCTGATTGCTGAGCTCCGTCCAGAGCATTTCTATATTGCACACCTTACCACTGGTTTTGTCACCTCGGGTGTCTTCGGGTCTTCAGATCTCTTCACCTAAGTTCCAGCACTGCCAGCCTTGGGAGTCTCACTCACTATGCTCCCCAGAGCTAATGCTTCCTTTGTGTTCATCATAATATAGCACAAATTGCGATCCCAGTAAAGAGTTTGGGAACCTCCTCCTAATGGCTTTAATAGGTATGCAGATCAGGAAACTCAAATGCAGTGATTTGTTTCCCACTAGACTCCGTAAAGGACGTAGGGAACAGGTTTATTGATCCTCTAGCTACTAAAACTAAAATCCATTTTGGAGGTACCGGCCTTTCTGTAATAAGAAAAATGTATCTAAATATCCTCCGATTACGCTTCTATTTAGAATGTGGTCATTCTGCCTAAATGTGGTACATAACTGATCCTTTCTTTATTGCCAGCAGAAATTGAGAAGCTCTATGCAGCTGTTCCCCAGATTCGCAATGTCTTCTATGTAATGGGAAAAATCGGAGAGGGTAAGTTTTTTTCAGCATATTTGCAGTAGTATTTAAATCTTTCATTAAAATAGATCATTCTCACTAGCCAGAAATTTTATAGAAACCTACTTTGTGTGCACTAAATGGCTTTGCAAGCATGGTTATTACCATGTAGAACGATCAGTGATATCATTACCCAGTAGCTCCACCCTCTACAGGCTGTCTGCCGAAAACTACAAATGCACCGATACTAGTATCAGTGCAGATACCGAGTATTTGGGTTAGTACTCGTACACGCCCAAATTATTATTATTATTATACAGGATTTATATAGCGCCAATAGTTTGCACAGCGCTTTACAATATAAATATTCTAATACCTTCCCCGATACCAGAACTTCCGATCAGAGAAAGATCTCCTGTGACCGGTAGTGCCGTAAGGAAACATGGGGCTGGCTCCCTGATTGGGCGGGAAGCCGGCTCGATTGTGATTGGCCGGAAAGCTGGCTTCCCAGCCAATCAGCATGGAGCCAGCTTCCCGAGTAAGCGGGTCATTACTTGCCGCTTGGCTTCCTGTTTTGCTGGGAAGCTGGATCAATGCTGATTGGCTGGGAAGCCAGTTTCCCGGCCAATCACAATCGAGCCGGCCAAACAACATGGAGCTGGCTACTCTGTATCGGTGAGTACCGAAAGCATAATATCGGTTCTCGATACCGGAAAACCGGTATTGGTGCTTCCCTACCGAAAACTACAGAAAGGGGCGGATACAAGACCAGTTACCCTGCACAAGGAGAGAGCAGCAGTGACTGGTATTTATTACAGAAAGCTCCTACACAGAAACAAAAGTTTACACAGGATTACTGCACATATGTGGAATAAATACACAAAGCACACTAAGATTCAACTAAGGAAAAGTTAGGAAAACGGGTTGGGTGTGGAGTATAACCAGTAATGTTTTTTTTCAAAGACTCTCTAAAACGAATATATCCTTACACATGTTTTCTGTCCCCCCATTTATTTATTTTTCTTCCTTAGAGAGGCTTGCATTAAGCTAATTGGTTTGAACACATTCATATTGTCAATACACACTGCTGCTATACAACAACAGATAACCATACAGGAGAAAATGAGGGCATATCATGCTTTCCACTTTCACTGAAGGGTCATCCATATTTTCAGTAGGTGTATTATCCTTTAAAGAAAAAACATTTCCTGTGTGAGCAGCTCTGAAAGCCAATTGTCTTCCTGTGTAATGTTAAGTGGTGCCCAAACATATACTAGCGTCCCCCCGTGACCCAAAGCTTAGTATATCGCAAACTACAGCTCACAGTACACTGAGACCACCGCAGCCGGGGCGGGGCCCGACAATGCTGTCGAGATCCACCAAGCTGCGTGAGTGACAGCTGGCTCTGCCTATCTAGAAGCAGAGCCAGCTGTACCCACCCCCTCCCTCGTTGGTTCCTCCAGTCAGCGCTTGGGGGGGGAGGGGTAACTGACAGTCACGGCTCCCTGCAGAGAGATGACCGAGAAGCGAGCGAGCAATGCTATGTGTTTGCTCACTTCCTGATCTATTGAGCTGACGGGTGACCGTTTCATTGTCACGCGTCGGCTCGAACTATGAGGATGAGTGATTTTTCACTCGCCTCCATAGACAAACACATTACTGTGTTTTGTTTGGGGCGTAGGGTGGCTGTACTAAACACCTTCCACTTCTCTTTGTTTTGTAAGGGCGGGCAGCTGTTTTAGTTGGTCATTTGATTCATGCCTAAACTTGGGATGGATAAATTACTGTTGTGTTCACGAGTTGAGCTGGCTTAATTTGAGCCAAAAAAAATCACTTTTGAAGGGCCTGGGGCACATAACATTTCTATTAACAATAGAAAAGGCTTAGCGTCAAATTTCTAGAAGTTGTCCTATGGCACTGATATGGGAAGTCTCTCTCCACACCCACATGACAGCACTGGGTATTTGAGTGGCCAATCACCAAATACCAAGGGTTTCACATTGGAGAGAGTCATAAGGTCTGCCATTTCTGGAAGCATTTTTCTTCACTGCTAGCAGCCAAATAAAGCAACAGTAAGTATAAGCTGCTGGTTTTGCCTCCATTTACGTGAACCTGTTTGCTGTGCATGCACAAAGCACAAAGCACATACTGACTTTGTTTGAATGTGCAGGCTCTGAAGACATTACTCATCCTAATTTTACTATGTGGTGAGCCATTGGCATGGAACAATTGTGTGTGAATAAGGTGTGAGGAACCTGTTTGAGGTCAATAACTTCCTTGGTAGAGAAGCAATGGAAGAAAGGACTGATTTAGGACCTTCAAAAACCAGAAACAAAGCTGAAATGGCAGCTTCCATATTGCTCTCCATGCTGTGTGATCGGAAATGTACTAGAATGTTTGAGGCAGCTGTGTTCAGACCATGCTGCTTCCTTTGCCTTGCAGTCAGTAAAGTATGGGGAGTTATGAATATTTGAGTTTATCAGGTATTGTGTAACGTGCACACATGCTTAAAAGAAGAAAAATGTTCGAGATTTTTAGGTAGATTGCTTACCTGGCTGTCAACTTAGAATTAACAGTGATGATCTGTAACTTGTATATGAAATAATGGGTTATTTATTTTTCCTAGGTACATTTAGTTCTGTTTATTTGGCTATTGCAAGACTTAAGTCAGGGGAGGATATGAAATTTGCTTTGAAACATCTAATCCCTACAAGTCATCCCACACGAATAGCAGCGGAACTGCAATGCCTTACAGTAGCTGGGTAAGTAAAGTTTAAAGGAAACTGGACAGAATTACATGTGCTATAATTTCTGACCATTCCTGTGGAGAATGCTGGCTTCTTGGCTGTCCTTCTGAAAGTATTGATATCGCAGGCAACAAAGTATTCAGAGATGCACTATATGGTCTACAGTTTGTGGACACCTGACCATCATGGCCTTTATACGGCCAAAGGCTTGAGGACACCTGTCAAAATTGGGTTTAGTGAAGGCAACTATTAATTCTACAGCATATGTGGGGACAATTTGGGGAAGTTCCTTCTCGGTTCCAGCATGTCTATGCACAAAGCTAGGTTTGGAGTGTAAGAACTCAAGTGGCCTGGGCTGAGCCCTGATCTCTACCCTAATAAACATCTTAGGGGCAAATTGGACCAGGAGACTTGCCTCACAATTGGCATTCGAATATCAATACCTCAACTCTTTTTTGGGGCTAAATGGGCAACATTTCCACAGCTACACTCCAGAATCTCCTTCTTGGAGGCTGTCCTAGCTAAAAAGGGGGCAACTCCATAAAAATGCCCAAGTTTTTGGATTTGGATGGTCCAACAAAGTCATATAGTTTGTGGTTTTCAGGTGTCCACAAACTAGGAATGTCCCAATACCATTTTCTTTAAGAACAAGTACTTTCCCTCAGGTACTTGCCGATACCAATTACCGATACTTTTTCTTAAAGGGACATGTGACTTTTCTTCTTAAAACAATACAGACTAATGATTTCAGGGCAGTTTCTTTGTAATTATAAAGAACTGTAACTCAATCCTTGATTATTCAGCAATGGGGAATGGCAACCAGCAATTGTGGATTGCTGAAAAGTGTAGTCTGTTATAGCCAGTTGCCATTCTCTATTGCTGTATAATCATTGATCCCATCATCCATGATTATACAGAGCTGCATGTGGGTGCCGGGCTCTCTAGGCGTTGCGGGTTGGTGCTGGGCTTTATGGCGTTGTGGGGCTGCCCTTTTGCTATGCCTGTCTCTGCGGGTGCCGGTAAGGAGATGTGGGGCCAGACCGGCGCTGTCAAAGATGGCTACAGCCAGGTCCTTAGCAGGCTGCCTAAGGTCCCCAGCAAGCGCAGAAGCTCAGGCAGCCGAACCTGTTTAAGGGGTCGGTATCTGCCTTTATTATCGGGGAATTTTAGAAATGCTCGTTGTCGGAACATCCCTACTCAAACTCTTGGCTATATGGTGTGAATACTTATGCAAGTTCCAGACACCTATAGAACCATCAGCTATCCACTATAAAGTGTTACATTCTAGTGTATTCCTTTTGCAGTAATTCCCTGTGGTCCTGAAGTGATCAGCATTACATAGGGGGAAGCGAGGTAGAATTTTGAGCAACTAAAAAACACTTAATGTATTTACTTTTATCATTCAACGTGTTGGGTGTTATTCCAACATGGCTGCAAAAGAAAGTGAATATTATTATGCCTTCATAGCTGGTCTGATAGAAATGTGTACATTTCTTATGAAAAATTTATGGCATGAATTTTTTTCTTCTCTACTAGCGGAGATGACAACGTTATGGGCGTTAAATACTGTTTTAGAAAAAATGATCACGTGGTTATAGTTATGCCTTATTTGGAGCATGAATGTTTTGTGGTAAGTTTTTATAATATTATTTCTTGCATTCACTAATTTTCTGTATAGAAACGCCATGTTAAAGGAGAACTATGGGGTTGGGGTAAGCTCAGTATTCCGCGAGCTGCTGCTCGCTGTATACTGTGACGCCACAGCTGAAACGGATCCCGACAATTCTGTCTGGATCTGCCCAGCTGCGTGAGTGACAGCTGGCTCTGCCGATCTAGAGGCAGAGCCAGCTGTACCCGCCCCCTCCCCCGTCCATTCTGCCAGTCAGCGCTGGAGTATTGGAGAGGGGGGATCATGTCCCTCCCCTGTCACGGCTCTCTGCCGTGACAGGATTGAGAAGTGAGCAAACGCCGGTATGTGTTCGCTCACTTCCCGATCTACTGAGCCGACGTGTGACAGTTTCATTGTCACAGGTCGGTTAGAACTATGAAGATAAGTGAAAAGCACTCACCTCATAGTTCTCCTTTTAAATAGAAAGTCTCCCCTGAAAATAGTAGAATTGTAATGGAGCATAGTTGTTGCTCAGTTGACTTTTTTTTTTATTTTGGGCTTGTTTACACCACATTCAGCCTCCTCTCCAGTTCTGCTGTTTTCCAAAATCCACTGGTATTCAGCTTCACACTAATATGTTGCATTACAATGTGTGGGTGAAGAAAAAAAAACGGTGCATTTGCCATTTGTATTCCAGTCTTTCGAAGATGTTGTGTTCGTGAAACATGGCAACTAAGGACCCTAACTATTAACCAAAATCATTTAATGTATGTTAGTTGTGTATCACTCAGCTGGAGATCCTCAAATCATCTCTGAATTCATGCTGACTGTCCTTCCTTCTGGAGGGTGGCTACTTTTGTCCCCATGGGGGGTGTGTGTGTGTGTTGTAAAGTAGCCACTGCTCCAAGCTTGCTCCTGTGACAATCTCATGCATGGATTCAGAGATGATTTGAGGATCTACAGCCGACAGACGCACAAATAAACGACTTCATAATTAAGGTACTTGACTATTAGAGCTTTAACTGCTGAGTTTAATGTCACTAACTTTTTGTTTTTGTGCTGTTTCTTTCATATAAATGTGAAATGTAAGCAACTTTCACATGTATTCAACGCCTTTTCTGCAGCCTGGAATGACTAACATACTTCAACTTATTTTACAACTTCAAACGTTTTGCTTAGAAATAAATAAATGGACATAAGATTGCATATACACAGCAGAATTTTCATTGACTGGGCCATTTTTAGACATTTTCAGTTCCTGGTTTTAAACCACTCTAGTGTAGCTTTTGATTGTGTATTCTTACAGGAAGGATACACTCTACTCCATCTCCGGTCACCTGCAGACTGTAGAGAGAGAGAGATATGGAGAGAGAGAGAGAGAAATATAGATAGAAATATATTATATATCTGTGTTTGGGTCAACCTTCTTGTCCTCTTAACTTTTGCCAGTGAAAAGCATTAGCATGCTACTGACCCTATGCTTCACCTTCACCATCGGGATAATGTTCTGGAGGTGATGAGCAGTGTTGGCTTTCTGACACAGATAACATTTTGCATTAAGCCCGGAATGCTACATTATGATCTCTGACCAGAAAACCTTTTTTTCACTTGTTTTCTATCTTGGTATGCCAAAGGAGATTTGTATTTATTTCAGCAACCTCTAATGGTTGTAGCAGTGCTTATTTAGGAAGGGATGCACCGATACCGGTATTTTGGTACCGAGTACCGATAATGTTTTTTCGGTACTCGCAGATACCAATTACCGAGTAACGGAAGTACCATTCAGGAAGCCAGGTGGCGTGTAATGACTCGCCACCTGGCTTCCTGATTAACAAAAAAGTCCCCTTTTACCTTACTATGTGCAGCCTGTCAACCCCGGGGGGCCTCTCCAGCAAGAACGTGGCCTTCGTCCGGTACCCAGCCGGAGCCGTCTAGCCGGCCAATCAGGAAGCCGGGCGCCGTGTAATGATGCGACGCCCTGCTTTCTGATTGGCCGGGAGGCCGGCTCCATGCTCTCTTGTCATGAGATAACGAGGGAGCATGAAGCCAGCTTCCCGGCCAATCGGAAAGCAGGGCGTCGCGTCATTAGACGGCGCCCGGCATCCTGATTGCAGGTCGTTGGGGGAGCCCTCCGCACACCTCACAGCAGTCCCGGCCAAGCAAGAAAAGATGGTGCTTGCAGTGATATTGGTTCACGAATGGCGCAGTTCAGACATAGAACAAGCAGGGAATCACCAGCACTCAGCAATGAAAGCAAATTTGTCCTTTTTGTTGGACAGAGGCGTCATAGAAATCAAAAGAACCAACGTTTCGGGGCCGCGCAGGGTCCCTTTCTCAAGGTAGAAAACATGACCGGTTTTCATGTTTTCTACCTTGAAGAAACGTCGGTTCTTTTGATTTCTATGACGCCTCTGTCCAATAAAAGGACAAATTTGCTTTCATTGCTGAGTGCTGGTGATTCACGGCTTCCTGATTAGACGGCTCGGGCTGGGTACCGGACGAAGGCACATTCTCGCTGGAGAGGCCCCGGGGGATGACAGGCTACACATATGAAGGTAAGGTAACCTTACCTCACGAGGCCAGCTTCCGGTCAATCGCAAAACCGGGCAGCGTGTAATGACGCGCTGCCCGGCTTCCTGATACCGGGAGTACTCGTGTTAGGCATCGGAGCATTTGGGCGAGTACTTGCCCAAATACTCGGAATCGGCACCGATATCGATACTAGTATTGGTATCGGTGCATCCCTATATTTAGATGTTTTCTGGGGGTAAATTTAAGAAACTACCTGATCCTCTTAGATATCAGATCTGAAAGACTTTGTAGCTTTTGGGAAAAGTATTCTTAACGGCAACATTTTTTAGTGATGGGAATGCCCTCAAGTCTAAGCCCATGGTATAAGTCCAGAAATGCTAGGAAAGAGGATAGGGGCTATGTCTAAAGTAGAACACACGAGTGCTGATATGATTTTTTTGGTGAATGTTAATGCATTGAGTCATGACTGACATTTAAAGGTTAGGTAAATTGTAACATTAAGCTGCCTCCAACACTCCTCCCACTTTATCATAATGTTAATGATATTGATGCACACAGATATACGGATGTTGGGCAGTACCTAACAATGTGAAAGATAATCTGCAATGCCCAGCTAGTGACAAAGTAGTCTCGGAAGATGTCCCTTTTACCTTATGGATTGAATGCACACATAGCGCAGTAAACACACTAATGGCAGACTGTGCAAAAGGATCCCTTTGAAACCCCCAAACCTCTGTGTATGGGGTGCAAGTGCATGTTGCCTCTCACAGTCCTAGCTCCAATAGTGACCTGTTATCAGGCCCTAGTACTGTTGCATGGGTGTAGGTGTACCTCGATTAATCGATTATTGAAAAAGTTGGCAACTTTTTCAATAATCGATTATGTCGATTAGTTGTTGCAACCCTACCCTCGTGCAAATACTGACTTTTTTAAAAGATGTATTTGTAAAAGACATCCTAGGGGGAATTATATCACATTAGGGGGTGCCTGCTATGCAGCTGGGTGGTTAATTTAGATTCCTTTTTAATACGTGACTTGTGCTTAAGGTGGAAGATGTTCTTGGCAGCATTTTGTTAGAGCTGAAAATCGGTAAGGTATGAAAAGCTACTTTGTAATCTAATTATGGTTTGTTTCAAGGAAAACTAAATACATTTTTATTTACAGCTTGCAAAATACCTACCTATATCTTGCTATCGGCTTCTTGGATTAACACAGAGCACCAACACCACCTTATAAAGTCCATATTGTTTTGTTCACTCCTTTTATTATGTTATAGATGGATAGATCGTATTGTTTCCAGTAGTATGTCTTTCTATTCTGTATATTCCTGATTTATCACACTTTGGGGGGGGGGGGGCTTTTTTGTGTAGCACTTCCTTTTTTTGACCTCTCATTATCTTCTTTTTTTTATTACAGGATATATTACATTCTCTTAGCTTTCAAGAAGCAAAGGAGTACATATTTAACCTCTTTAAAGCACTTAAACGTATCCACTACTATGGGATCCTTCACCGGGACGTTAAACCGAGCAACTTCTTGTACAACAGAAAACTGAAGCAGTACGTTTGGGCACATTATAATATTGTATATGTCAGTATATTTATACCATCATCAGAGGTGATTGGCCGGCATAAACTAGATATCTATGAAAGCAACTTGTGTACCTGTTTTTTGTGTGCGATGTAATCGCAGGGAGGGGAATTTATGAAAACTGGAGCAGACAAAATCTGGAGCAGCTGTACACGGGAACCAATCGGCTTCTCTCTCATTTTCAAATCTTAACTGGACAAACTGAAGAGAGAAGCTGATTGGTTGCCCCAAGCAACTGCTCCAGAATTTCTCTGCTCCAGTTTTGATAAATTTCTCTCCGAGTTCTTGGAGTGCCTCAGCAATCCTTACCTAATGACAGTTGATAAACACTGGTCAGTAATGGACATTAAGACAGTAATGGCAATTGAGAGTAACCTAGATATATATTTTCTGCCTTTTTAGTAGGCAAAATAATGGCTCTGCTTTCAAACAGACATTTGCTTACATGAAGCAGCCATGAGTGCCCAGGTGCATCTGGAAATATCTCGCCCTTTAATGATGGCCACCAATGTTTGAAATACTTTTTGGCCAAGCCCTATGTTAGGTCAAAATGTGTTGGAAGTGGAGCCTGTGTCCAGCGGGATGCAGTCATTTAGAGACTGCTTGTTTTAAAAAAAATAAATGAAACTTTGGTGGCACAGCCTTTTCTTTCAAACCTTAATTGATATCTGCCTATCGTACGATAATCACGGGTGTTCCCGCGATCGTTGGACAATCGGCAGGTGTATGGAAGGCGTGCAACCGTTTCTACTGTACGGTCGCAACGTCTTTCGTCTTCTGAGCACGTTTGAAAACCCGCCGAGAATCGTAAGATTTTCGACGGGTTAGTGGCGTGCTCGGCAGACCAATGCCGAACGGGCCGGTGTGCGCAAGCGCACACTGCCTGCTCAGCATTGGAAGCCCTCCCCTCAGCAGAGCCGGCTTGCGATGATCGCAAGTACGATCTGCCTGTCCAAGATGGGCAGATCGTACGAGATTTTAATTACCTTGCAACCATTGCACAACGAAAGTCATACGATGGTTTTAAGGTGTATGGACACCTTTTTACTTCACGCTCATATTTGTGCTTTAACCTAATAGCGTTAATAGGTTATTACAACCCATCCAAATCCTAATAAGGTCAGAATCTTCTGGAATTTGTCAGTCTTATTTGGTGTGGCAAAACTGTAGTTATAGAACTTTTTTTCATGTCTAAATTGTATTGCATATGTGTAGTAATTTAAGATATTTTTGTGCTGCAGAACATTCCTAACGACCTGGGGAAAAAAATTACCTTGTGAGATTTTGTAAAATCTGCCAGTAATACAGAAGTACATAAGTGTACAAAAAGGTGAATTGGCCTTACTCTCAGAATGTATCATGGCGTTCTTGCTATTCCAGTAAGGGGATAATAAATAGAGTCTGGCTGGTTAGTGCAGAGCAGCAAACGCTGTCTGACAATTGGCCTCTCAGGCACTTGATATATAAACTATACACGACTATGTGGCGCATTCAGGTGACACTATTCTGTGCTCGGTCAGAATTTTTTTTGTTTTTGTTTATCTCAACCTAGATAATGGCGACTTTGCATAATATATAGCCGGAGCTATATAATTTTTGTAACAAACCGTATATCGCATGTAATAATTCTGACCTTTTGTTGCCATAATGTTATGCCGCATCACTATATGTGGGGGTCTACCCATATTGCAACAAAATACGAATTGGGGACATTTTTGTGATTTTTTTTTTTTTTTTAAAGTATATCTAAGGCCTTGTTCACACTAAGCGCATTCCAGGAGCAGAGCAGTTACAGACCAGATCAAAGCTGCGTCCAATGTATTCCAATGGTATTTTGGGCTCTAGTTCCCAACGCAGCGTTCAGTTACAGAGCATGTTAAAAAAAACTGCAGCAAGCTCCAATTTTACCTGCTCTGGAAGGCATCAAAAAAGCATGCAAATGCCCTGGAACGCGCTAAAAGCCCATTCTAAACTACCAAAAATGGCCCGAAACGCATTAAAAACGCGGCACAACCCACTGCACTGCGTGTGCATAAACTCATGCAGATCTGGTCTGCATTTGGTGTGAACAAGCCCTTAAGCCCAAACCTCCAAAATTCAAGCTGCAAGTTCCCTGTCTGCACCACTCAACAAGTTGGAGCAGCATTAGCCGTGTGGAAAATTGTCGGCCGAACAGTGACTATCTTCAGTGAGATGCAGTTGCTGTCCAGGTATTCAGCAGTCGCAGGTCCCACCAGCTGCTGAATACTATAGCAGGGAGATTCCTTCATCCACTCTGTTCAGAATGGATAGGGTAATCGATTTGGTTTCTCTCATTCAGCCTGCTAGCTTTATTCTTGTTCTCCTGGTGACCATTGTCACCACAATTGAAAGCGAGGGGAAAATAAAAACCTTTTGAATTGTTGCCAGAAAAATGATAGACGGAAGAATCTTTTAATGGGGGCGGGGGGCAATTGCTCAAATGACATATTTCTAACAGAATAGTTTCCTTTGTTTGGGGAGATCACCTCTCACTTGCTGTTTCAAGACTGGAAATGAAGAATCTACCAATGGGGCACAAAGGAAAAAAAACTGTTGGGGTTTAACCATTTCACACTCTATCCCAAAAAAAAATGTTGGTTTCAGATAAACTTTAATCATTAATCAGCCCCCTTTTAATGTATTCTGTTTTTTTTACAGGTATGCCCTGGTAGATTTTGGATTGGCCCAAGGAACACCAGACACAAAGATAGAACTTCTGAAAGTCCTTCACTCTAAAAAACAGGGGAGTTGCGTACAAAGTAAACTTCACACAATTTCAGGAACTATACCAGTACCTAGAGAAGTAGTTCTACCAACCTCAACAAAACAGTCTGTTAAAAGACATTGGTCACTTTCCCAGATAAATCCTGGAAACAGTGCAAAGGTTCTGAGTCTTTCTTTTTTCTATTTATTTTGCAAAAATAAAGCATGGCTGCGCTCCTTAAACAAGTATTACTATAGCAGATTCCAACATAAAGGGGTGCACATGAGTGGTGTTTCCGTGCCATGTTGCATTATACTTGCCATGTGTATATCATTCAGGATGTTCAGAACTGATCACTTTGGTCAAATCTATCAAACGCTGATCAATGTAACCCATTGTTTTCATCCCTTCCGTCTGATTTCTAAGCAGTGATTGGATAAAAACGATCGAATGGGTTAAAAAAAATCTTCGCTGCTTGTCCTAATGATTGCTAAATGTTTTGTCCCAGCTTTATTTCTACTCCGATAAAGTATTTTGTGTTATTTCCAATCTAGCAAGCCAACGGTTTAAAGCACGAAGTGATTTTATAGTTTGAACAACTTCCAATAGACTTTCATCCTTTAAAAGTAATTGGAGCAATGATGGCAAACAGTCGTGTTGCATCAATCAATTTTCAAGAAAAAAGGTTAAATGATTGTATTAAACAGTCAGTAGGATAACATATCAGTACTGTATGTCCAGCATGGGCCCTCTTCCCTCCCGTTGTCCTGTAAGAAACCTGCAGACTAATAGGGATATCAAACGTCAATGAGAAACTTCAGCACCGTGCACATTGACATCTTAAAAAATGACCAAGTAATTGATGAAAGTAACTTAATCATAAGAGCACCGTGTGCCGAGGACCCTGGTTTGTAGATGAAATATGTGAATGCAATGCAGCACAGACATGTCACTTGTGTGCACTTAAAGTGGAACTCCAGCCTAGACTATAGTTTTTGTCTTTGGGGCAAAGAAGAGTTAGTACCATTGCCACTTGCACAGAGGTCGTCAACCTTTCAAACAGGCATACACAGAGCAAAAAAAAGTGCATCTAAAGCCAAAACCTCCTATGTCTCTTCCGTTCATTGAAGGACACAGCCGAATCTTCATTTTTACAGAAGGGTTATATGCCACTTGCAGGAGTAGGAAGCTGGGCAGATAAAAACAACAAAGTGAGGCCCTTGCTGGTGGCTCAACCCCCCACTTGTTAGAGGTAGCTCAGTTTTCTGCGTAACTTCGAGGAGTAAGGACCTAGCACCCTGCTGGGGTCTTTTTTACTATATTTGTTTTCTTTTTATATAGGATGCTGTTGCTTCTGCAGACTAGGGTTTTGGCCGCAAGGCTTTCGCGGGGGACTGTTTAGTTATGCGGGTGCCTCTTTTTGTTCTGTTTAGTTTTTAGCTCTCGGTTCTCACTTCTTTGGGACGTCCCTTCTGTAAAATGAAGTTTCGGCTGTGTCCTTCAATGACCGGAAGAGAAAAAAAGATTTTTTGGAAGTTATTGTAAAATCCTTTCCGCCAAGTTCATTGAATGACACAGCCAAACACTTGCAAAGTGCAAAAGTGCAAAAAAAACAAAGCACAGATCTGGGGCTGTTCAAAAAAAAAAATCATTTTTTTTGTTTTGATAGTTGTCTTTTTGTTCTCATTAGGGAGATTTAATCTCTCATTGCCCTGGGGACCACTGTCATGGAGACTAAGTAAGGAATATTTCAAAAGGTGCCAACATTCAAAGGGGACACTAGTTTCAGTGACAACTAAAAGGGCATTTCCGTCACAATGGAGAGATTTCCTCTTGTTTCCTGTTGTGTCTGCTGGTTTAGAAGTGAAATTCTCTACTATATCCAAAATGGGCGAGTAAAAAAAGGCTGACTTTAGATATGATTTAACCCTTCTCCAGTCTTAAAAAAAAAAAATCAGGAGTTCCACTTTAACAGTGTGACCATCTGTAAGAAAATTAAAAATAGAACTTGTAATTTTGCATGTAGCAATTTTGTTGTATATTGATTTTTTTTTTCCGCTCTGTAGTTTGTCTGCTTTACTTCAAGTACTGTATGTTCCAGTGGGTGTTTGTGTTATGATGCTGCTTATTATGATGTTTATTGCTCTGTCTAGACTGTTCTTTCTGCACATGGAAAGGGTTTATATGCCTGAAATCATGCATGCAGCTGTTCTCACTTTATGTCACTCCCTAAATATGCAATTAGTTGGTGTTGCAAAGTGATAAATATATAATTCTTATTGTGCTCCATTTGGATGTCATCTCTTCTAGGAAGGATTACTTGGTGGATCTACACAGAGGTCTGTGTTTGGAGAGAAGAATTTTAATGTCCACAGTACTGCCTCCCTTGAAGTCACAAATGCAAAAGTAAGCAACACTTGTGAATAATAAACACATATACAAGATATCCTATTATACCGTTGGGTACTGATCATTTAAAGGAAAACTCCAGCAGTTTTATGGGCAGTGGGGATAATGTTGTCTTTATTAATCTGGCTCAGTGATGGAGTAGATGGATAATGCACTTCCCTGCTCATCCTCCATGAGTAGTAGAATTTGTTGGACTAGAATCATTCCATCTGTGTGGCATTGCTTCATAACCAGTGATGACAGATGTACACATTGTAGAATAGCTGATCAGTTGGTAGAAAATGGTAGTTAGTCACAGTAATACCAGGTGGAAATGAAAAGGGGAAAACAAGCCTGAAAAATTAAAGCAACCACATCCAAGGACCATTTTGCTGCAATTTATTAAGGGGGCTGTTCACTAAGCTGCAGAAGGCAGCCGAATGAATAAACGACCCGAGGTGAAGTGAGCAGAAGCCTGTTTTGGTTCTTTATTGCAACCGTGCAAGGGTTTTCTTAGCCATACATCGGCTACATTCGGCTCACTTCACCTTCCTTCGGCTCGGCCAAACAGCCTCAGCACGTTCAGCCAACTCGAAGGGAAGAGCCCGTTTGCCTCAGCCGATGCAACATCTGGATCGGCTGAGGCGAACGTGAACGTTCAGCACTTAATTCCCTGCTGTTCACCCCTATTCTCCAAGGGTGAGTTAATTGCCAAATGTTCGGCTCTTTATTAGGTCATTCTGTTCACTACCTCGGAGGTAGCGACAGAAGGAAAAACGTGATTGTAAACAAAAGAAGAAAAAAAACTGTGGGATCCCCTTTCCAAATTATGCCAGACCCTTTAGTGCGTACAGCAGCCTTTCGCTTCTGCGTAACCAAAGGTTTTCTGCAGCTGAAGTGAGCCAAAGGATTAGACAAACATTCGGCTAAATCCTTCGACTCTGGTGAATAACCCCCGAAGTTTTATTTTTGGGTTTAGATACACTTTAAAGGAAAATGTCGTCATGTGATTGATACCCCAAACATTTTTTTTTCTTTAACCAGTTGACATCCGCGGTGTTAAACCCCCTTCCCATCCAGACGATCGGCGGGCTATGGAGCTGCCGATCGTCTATATGTGAAACACCCGGTAACGGGTGTTTGCATTGGTCGGGTCTTTTCTGCCCGTGCGTGCCCGCTAGGGGGCGCGCGCGAGCAGAAAAAAAATGCCGTCTGGAGACGGCAACCCACCAATGCAGTGCCGTCCGTCCGTTTTTTTACAACGGGCGGACGGCAGGTGGTTAAACTTAAAGTTGCAAATATTGAAATTTTACTTGAGCACTCGTCTGCGTTTATGGTGTTGCTCCATTACTGACAGAATTTCTGCAGAAGTTCTGTTTAAATTTTTTTTATCAAAATCAAGTAATCGTACCGCCATTTGTTTTCTGGGGCACCTTAATGTACAGGCTACCAATAGCCACTGCAGTGGGTGTGCCCAGCAGCAGCACAGAGACCTCCTTCAGCACTACAGGACTAGTTCAGTTGATTGTGACAAACTACTACTCAATAGAGTAGAGAATCAAGAAAATGTAGATAAGTAATACAAATGAGAAAATGTTCCACTGCTATAAATTACAGGCACACTTGTTTATAAAAGTAAATGTTAAACAGCACCTGGAAACGCCTACTTACTGCGTTGTCACTTAAAGTTTTGAAAATGCAGATTTCTTCTATAATGAAGTTCCTGTAGAAAGCATCATTGGATTAAATGTTGTGTACCACAACTGCATTTTTACAGAGCACAAAGCAGCCCAAGACATCAGATGTTGCATCCAGAAAACTGGCAGCTCGAAAAACTGTTCTTGCAAAAAACACAAGTACTGGGGTGGTCAGGAAAACTGCCAGCACTTGCCCAGCAAGCCTGACCTGTGACTGTTATGCAAGAGATCAAGTTTGCAGTATTTGCCTTGCAAGGTAAAGTATTTTGATAATGTTCTAAAACCGAGCAGAACACGTTTTCTCTGTCTAGTGGAATTAGCTGTCCATCTATTGCACAGCTGGCTCAGCTTAAGATGTACTATCTTTCTTCAATGCCTGGAATTGATGGCAATCAAATATGCTTTTTTGCAAAAATAAACAAATCTTTCATCAATCATTACAATTATACTCTGGTATCAGAACTTTTTTTGTTTTTTTATATATATTTGGAGTCGTCTTTTGTGCAGTCCTAATAGACAGTTCTTTGTCTAGTCCTTGGCATCCTTTTAACACTTATTTCTTCTCTTTTTGTGAAGAACCAGACAAGTTGCTCCAAGAGCTGGTACTCCTGGGTTTCGTGCTCCAGAGGTGCTAACTAAGTGTCCTAATCAGACTACTTGTAAGTATTTCATATTTTCTTTGGGTAAAAGTCACCAGCTCCATTGGTATTCTTCAGTTGTATGGAGAAGCCTTTCTATTTAATAAATCTATTTGCATGGTCTTGCATCTATCCAGCTGTAACAAATATTCAGAAATATTTGATGAGCTGAAAATCCTAATTGTGGTTTTGTGTATTGCTCACCGGACAAATTTTTTTTTTTTTCATGCAATTTTTGCATGTGCTGCCTGTTTCATGTGTACTGAAATATTCCCGTTAGGAACACTGGAAACCATCAGATAACCCACTAAATGTTAACCGTGCCTAAAAGGGTCAGTACACCATACTCTATAGCTCCCTGCTTCACCTCGGTGTTTAGAGTTTCCTAGTCTATCTTTCTGTGTTTAAGCAACTTCTGTTGCCTTCTTTATAATATAAAGTTAAATAATCCAACACGGTGATTGGACTCCCCACCTAATGGACACAGCAGGAGTGCAGACCCAGGAAGGCGAGGATAGTGATCTCAACAGTAGTGTTCCTTTTTAGCGATATAAGAAATAACTCTTCATCAGCAGAAAAACTGAAATCTGTTTTGGGTGGATTTTTTTTTTTTTTTTTAATCACCTTCACTTTTTTTTTTTTACATATTTTAGGAATGCCAGTGGTAAGGTTAGATTTCCCCCCAATCCAAAGCCAATCCATCTTACACTGAACATTTGGGAGAACCTCCCCTGCTATTGAACAGGCTTTGTTCATTCACCTGCAAAAATCTTTAAGGGTGATTCATGCACTGGCCAAAATGTACAGATGCAGCGGGGTATTGTTGTATATGCATTTGAGTATCCAGCACATATTTCTTGTTGGTAGTTCTTACAGTCTCTTTTGTCCCTCTGGTTTTGGCCAGTTTGGTCTGAAACTGCCCAGCTGCAAAAAGTGACCCATATTATACTATAAACGTAAAGCCCATTTCCAAGTACAAAAAGAGGCTACCTCTGCGCTGCAAGGGTTAGCTGCTCATTTCATGTGCAGGGGTATGATAGAGGACTTTAACTTATCTGATCCCCTACCAATTAGTGCTCACCTCTCTCCCCTCCACTGGACTGCACCTCAGTGTACTCGTGTATAATGTAGGGTTATGATCCCTGCATTAGATGGGATGACACTAAAACTAAACTAAAGTGGGAAAAGACTGCAGGCGCTGGTCTGGGAGCCTGTAGAAGCAGACGTCAAGTAAGTAAAAATCCTTTACAAAGGTCCACACAAAAACAAGCAGATAACCCTTAGGCCCCATTCACACTGGAAGCGGCCAGCACGTACAGCTCTGTGCTGCGTGCACGGCCGTATCGGGCAGCTCCCGGGAAGGACAGGTGCTGCATTTGATTAGTACGCAGCCCCCGTCCTTCTCTATGGGACTGCAAGGGGAGTTTTTTGTCTGGTTTTGTTTTTTTAATTGCGGATAGGTTTTGAGTCATCACTTATTGAGAATGTGAATCATACTCAGCTGGTTGGTATTACATTTTTGCAAAATGTTAGATTTTGGTTTTTTTTCCCCTTTAGAAACCTATAATTTGCAGATACTTTATAATTGAAACAATATGTGAGAATGTTTGTTTACACAGAGAAGGTCATATGTTTCTTTTGGTGTACGTCTGGAATGCAGTGTCCACATTTGTCATCTTAAAATGGATTCACTTGTCATTTGAGGATCTTGTCTAGATATTGCAACTTTTCCTTTTGTTCCAGATTTTTTTTTTTTTATTTAGCCAGTTGTAAAGCAAAGAAGACTTTACTTATGTTCTGTAGTCCTATATTCAAAACACAACATTCTGAATATTATGGACCAAAGGCCTAATTCGCATTTGTCCATTTTCAGGCACATGCATTTTCCATGAAATCATGCGTTGCTATTATTATTATTATTATTATTATTACATAGTATTTATATAGCGCCAACAGTTTGCGCAGCGCTTTACAACATAAGGAAGACGTTACAATCACAATAGAATTCATGACAAGATGGTAAGGGGGGCCCTGCCCCTGAGGGCTTACAATCTAAAAGAGGAGGGGGAAATGATACATGAGGAGGTAGCTGTGTGGGGATGAATTATTTGAGAATGTGCATTTGCATGCGCTAACTTGTGTTGACCTCCATTTCCAGCCATGTTACATAAAATCAAATAAATGCAAATACACATATGCCCCCCTTACCGTTCTGCTCAATAAATCCTATGATAAAAGAAACCCTGAATTATTTATTGCAGAAGACGTTGCTCCTGTGGTGGCTGGTCACATTACAAATTTAAGTCTGGTCATGTGATCTCAGACGAAGGGGCTTAGAGTCTGAAGTTTGTGAAGAGCCAGCAGTGTCACGCCAGGCCAGCCAAGCCTCGGTGACTGAGATTCTTCCTGCCAGCTACCCACACCATCAACCAGTGTTATACCGTATACCAAGATTTAGAGATTCTTGCTGGGCCTATGCTGTTACCATCTGAGGAAGCCACTCTCGGGTTGAGTAACTGGTGTCTCTCTCTAAAGTGCCCTGTCTGTGTGACCACCTTCTTGCTAAGCTGTTGTTTTTTTTACTTGTTTGTATGTTAAAAATAAACTTGCAAATCTCACACAGACTAATAATGTATTTGACCGTGAAGTCTGTTTTGTTTGTGCCAAACTTTGTTGTTTGTGCTTTTATAAAGGCATCATTCACACTGCCGTGCGTATTGTACCATATGCAACCTATGCAAATAAATGGCTCCATACACACAGCCGCGTGTAGAGCCATATATTTGCGTAGCGTATATATGTGCAAAAACGGAATGGAACAGAGATGTGTCCGGGCAGCGTATTTACGCGCATATACGCGTGTTTACGCGTCTATACGCTCGTACAGCGCATTAAAAATTCCATTTCGAGTGATGCATTCTGGGATTGCATATAGCGCACGTATAGACGCGTATATACGCAATATACAATTTTGCTTGTGTTGTGTGTGAATGAGGCCAAATCAGCCCAACTATTTGCTGAGCTTCAGGATATCTCATTAAAAGTAGGATGGCAATTCTAATTTTACTGTTTTTTTTATTGCAGCTATTGACATGTGGTCTGCAGGCATCATATTTCTCTCCCTTCTCAGTGGAAGATATCATTTCTTCAATGCTGGCGATGATATGAATGCTTTGGCACAAATCATGACGATCCGTGGTTCACAAGAGACCATTAAAGCTGCTAAGCAGTTTGGTAAGCGTTCAGAGGAGAATTTCTTCTAAAACAAGTTGTGCAGCTACTCATATTTATAGTCATATCATTTTGGTAAATTGGTAAGACAGTATTACAGTCTAAACTGTGTACTATAACCTAACTGGAAGCTGTGCCTGGTGTGTTGGAAAAAAACAAAAGCTTTAGTTAAAACAGACCTTTTTAATAAAATGTCTTTTAAAGCTGTGTTTTTAATCTAGCTGTGACAGATGTAAAAAATAGTATTAGACTGGCTAAATTTCCTTTTGCTGGAGAAAATATTAATCGACGCTTGTCACCTGACCAAAATCTGAGGTCTTAGGCTGTCACATGATCTTTGCTCTATGAAGGCATAATCCAGTCTAAACTCTGAGCCTCACTTTCAACCCAATGTATGAGCTAACCTCTTAGCCTTGGTTAAAAGAGAACTATGGGATAAGTGTTTGTTTTTCCCCATAGTTTTCCTTAGGGTCACGGGAGGACATAAACTAGTGTCCTCCCGTGACCCAACAAATAGCACACTCGCCAGCCAGCATGCAAAAATACTTGTCTCACCGCTAAGGTTAAAAATTTGAGGTTTAGATGCACGTCTTCTGCAGAAAATGTGGACACAGCCGTGTCGCACAGCCGTGCCAAGGCACCTCTAAAAAGTGCGGTCCTAACTAAACTATGAGAGTCCATCTTGGAGCACATGGGGCAAAATTGGGTGCAGGTTTGTCAGGAGGAAGCCCAACCTCCCTTAAAGGCACAGGGACGCACAAGGGATCCCGCACGCCACAAGGCAGCTGAGACCCCCCATGCATCACTGCACCAAATCAGTCAAGCAAAACAAATGGCAAACGCACTCATCGATTTGTTACCAGTTTTACAGCAAGGTGCACATGGAAGGGCCTAATACAGTACAAACGGCAAAAAGTTTTCCCAGCACACTCGCCAGCATGCAAAAAAACTTGTCTCACCGCTAAGGTTAAAAACAGAGGTCCTGTGACCCAAAGACTGCCGCAGCTGGGGCAGATCCCAAAAATGCTGTGGAGATCCACCCAGCTGCGTGAGTGACAGCTGGCTCTACCTATCTACAGTCAGAGCCAGCTGTGCGCCCTTCCCGTCACTTCCTCCTGTCAGCGCTGGAGGATCGGGGGGGGGGATCCCTGCAGGGAGCCGTGACTAACAGTCACTGCTCTCTGCAGGGAGATGATCGAGGAGTGAGTGAGCGGCCGTATGTGTACGCCCACTTCCCAATGTATTGAGCCGACGTAACAGTTTCATTGTCACACGTCGGCTCAAACTATGAGGATGAGTGATTTTTCACTCACCTCCATAGTTCTCCTTTTAAGGAAGCAGCGCTGGAGTAGCTTTTTTTTTTTTTTTTTTTTTTTGTACAGGGAAGGCAAGTAAACATGAAAGCCATTCTGTCACTTTAACTCCATCCCAGCAACTCTGCTAGTAACGTTTGAGTATTAGTACTCTTTAAAGTGACTGTTTAAGAATACAGAAAACTGCTTAGTGGAGGTTTTACCACTTTCACATTCTATCCAAAATGTATAAAGAAAAAGTGTTGTGTGTGTATATATAGATACACTTTAAGAAACTAAAGAGAAATAAATGTCATAAATCTATCTTTGGTAGAGAAGGTGTCCTTGTCTGTTCTCCACATTGGTCATGTGATATCTACTGGGACAACAGCTCTGTCTCATCCTTCCCATCAATAAAGGTTATTTTGACTTGTTACCAGAGAGACAGGAGCACCAATATAATTTGAACAGTCAACATTAAAGTGCATGTTAAGGCAAAATGAAATAAAAGAAAATATGTAATTTACTATATCTGCAATACATGAACATTTCCAGTTGTATCCCCTTTAAAGACCCTACAAGTACAGGAAAATACATGTTGGTCTGCCAAAAATACATTGACATCCGAATTCCTGTTGTGAAGAAAACATAGGAAACCGGCGCACCGATCTAAGTGCAGTATAAAGTGGCTATTTAATAAGGTTAAAAGTAATGCACTTACAGGATATTAAAAAAACATCTCGCCTGTCACGCGTCAGATGAAAGTCCCATCTCAGCTGCTGGTCCGAGATTGCTATCAGGATAGGGAGAGAGCAGAGTCCAGTTCAGTCCAGAAAGATTCCAGGACGCCTGTGCTGGAAGACACAGGTCTGATCCAGTGGCAAATTCCTGTTGTGGGCTGACAGCACACAGCATTTTTGTGAGCTGAGTGGTGTCAGCCTTGCCCAGTGTGTTTTGCTAAACTAATCATCCACTTTCAGATCTCCTAGAATGTTTTGTAGTCAAGGATAAGAAATTGGAAGGGCACTTGAAGAGGGTATGTGATGGTCTTGAATTTCTGACCAGATCAGCAGGGTTTGTTTGTTTTTGCGCGCTTGTCAAACAGATTGAACAAAATGCTTCCAATAGTATATTGGCCAGAAGGGAGTTTATCTTGTAGGGTTTACATTCACGTTAAGTATGTTACCTGTAGCCTTTCTTTGTACTATTTTTAGCTTTTCACTACAAAAATGACTTACAAGGGCTTTAAAAAAAATCAGTCCTAGTTTATTTCACAGCTCTCAAAGATGGGACTGATCATTGGATTTGGAATTAGTGGGAGAAAATGATCTTCTTGACATTTTGACTAAACATTTTTGGCTAAAATATTTTTGTCTCCTCCAGATAAGACCGTGCTTTGTAGCAAAGAACTTCCTGCAAAAGATTTAAGAACATTATGTGAAGGACTAAGAAGAGTGTGCATGGTGCCTGCATTAGGTAGTGAAGCAGAACTTCAAAAGCAGCGGACTTCACTGCAGCTAAAAATGATAGAAAATCAAGATGGCTGGTTTGTTGAGCAGACTATCAGTCCTGCTGAGGATATCGATAAAAGTTTAAACTGTGCACCCATGACTGAGGGCACAGTATTTAAACAATATAACATGAATGGCTGGGACAGCGTACCAGATGAGGCATACCATCTATTAGACCGATTGCTGGATATGAATCCAGCTACGCGGATCACAGCCGAGGAAGCATTGTTACATCCACTCTTTAGCGATCTCATATGAATATCTAATTTAGATGGACTTTGACACTAGAAATTTTTTTTTTTTTTTTGTATTTTCCTATTTATCTCTATATT